TGGGGAAAAACTGGAAAATTCCATCCTGAACTGAAAAGGTCAAGCTCTTCCCCAGAAATTCCCTTCCCTCTGCCCCTGCTTCCAAATATCTGTACTGGTGAGCGAGTTCACTTTCAGGGCAGTGACCGCTGGTTAGCGGCTGGTTCAGGAGCACTGGGTGATGAGGATGGCACTGAATTCAGCCATCTGAAAATATCTACATAGCTATAAAACAAATAAGTATGTATATTTAAAAAGACATATTTTACAGTCTCCCTTCGGTGGTAAAATGTATTCTCCCACCTAAAGCACAAATGATGTTCTGATCTTAAAAATTAATCAACTTTTATTTTTATTAGTCAGGATGTGGAAAATGAGGCTTCTTTTTTTTTTTAATTGAGGTGTTACCAGGTCGTTAGAAACACCACTGCTTCAGCAGTGATTCCTTGCATCCCCAGCAGCTCCTGACCTGTTGGTGCAGAGATGAAGCCACATACTAAGATCTTGACCTGTGTGTTTTTTAAACCCTGGGTGCTGCAGCCCTTCCTGCACCCCGGGTGCATCGCTGGGGCAAGTGGTGCTGCTCTGCACCCAAATACCCGTGCACGTGTCTGCAGTCTAGGAGCGAAACAGCAAATACGCATGGGATGGTTGAGAGGGTGGAAGAGGCGGAGAGGTGGGGAGAACAAGATGCAAAATGCTCTCAGCAGCCCCAGCTTCTTTGCCTCTGGGGTTGAAGGGATTTGCAGAGCTCACGTGGAGGATTGTTTTTTTTGTTTCTTGTTTTGTTTTAGGCCTGGGCTGTTTTCAAAGGCAAGTTCAAAGAAGGTGACAAAGCGGAGCCGGCCACGTGGAAGACGCGACTGCGCTGCGCTTTGAACAAGAGCCCTGACTTTGAGGAGGTAACGGACAGGTCCCAGCTGGACATCTCTGAGCCCTACAAGGTCTACAGGATCGTCCCGGAGGAGGAACAGAAATGTGAGTGCCCTGATAAAGGACTGACCCCTAATGCGAGTCAGTCCTGTGCGTAACCGTGGACTTGTGCTGCTGACCTATGTCTAAGCACAGCTTCCCGGCCAGATTCTGCTCTTGTGCCGTGATACTTTGCTTGTCCTGCCTTGCAGAAGATGTCCCCTGTGTCACTGTGGTGGCAGGGAGGGGAGGAGGAAGGACAGACTTTTTTTTTTCTACCCCTCTAAACAGCTGCTTAGGAAATAGAGGATAATCGGTGCATCATGTAAGCATCCATCCCATAAGGATGTAGTAGGGGTAAATCCAAAATTGTTCCCCCCCTCCTTGGGAGGTGGTACTTGAGTCCCAACCCCTGCCCTGGGCAGATGGCAGGGAGCTGCAGTGAATCCCTTCTCTCTGCCAGAAGTGATTAGAATGACAGTAATTTCAGAGAGCAGTTACTGCTGTGATGTCCGGTGCGGCGCAGGTTGCACTAAGTATATCTCTATTTGTGGTTAGGCGTGTGTGTGCTTTTCCTTTTTTAAAGTTAAAAACTTGTGAAAAAAAAAAATCATCTCGCTGTCAGGAAATCTGCCTTTAGCATTTCGGTCTCGTCCAGCCGTGTTCACACGGGGGGCATACCGCTGCTATGCAAATGCCACGGCAGGTTCCCACCGGCAGCACGACTGCGCTCGGGGCGGCTGGCGGAAAAAGGAGAAGCAGCAGCAGCCCCAGTCTCTGGGGTGCTCAGAAAAAACCCAACCCTCTCCTTGGCTCTAGCTCTTTCTCTGCTACTGGCCAGACTTTTGATTTGCCTTGCTGCTGGTTACTGTGCATTGGGGGCAATGGGTTGCAAACTGGGTTTTGGTCCCCAAAAGCAGCTCAGGGTAGATCTGGAGGGGTCTGTGAGCACCCTCCCCCCCCCGGGGTACTGTTATGTGACTTTACCGTCCTGTGGTTCTCGGTTTCATAACTTTCGCGGGGTGGAGGGTTTCTAAAACCCAGTGGCGAGATGAGCTGTGGCTGGGGGGGATGTGTATCCTTACCGCATCCTGGCCCTCTCCTTCCAGGCAAAGCAGGCATTGCCAACGGGAGCAGCCTGAATGATGTCTCGGAGATGGACTGCAGTTCCTCTGCAATTGATGACCTCATTAAAGAGGTAAGCCCTCACCGTGGCTGCAGGTCACCTTGGCTGGAGGTGAACTGATGGTGTTGAGTTGCCTGATAAAGTGTGGTTCTCATGATAAAGTGAATTTCCTAAAATTCAATCTGCAAAGCTGGTGGGCAATGCTGGGTTTTGCGGCTCATTCATGTGAGCCAGCGCCGGGATGCAGTTGTGATGAGTGGTTTGTGCTCTCTATTTGCATCTGGGCAGTCAGGACCATCGCTGGGGGATGGAGGCTGTTTCGCAGCTCTGTTCCCCTTCTTGGCCGTGTTGCATTGGGCTGCTTCTGCTTAGGAGCTCTTGAGGGTGTTGTTTGAGTGTATGGCCTGGGGAATGCCCAACTTGATCTTTCTATCAAAAAAAAATTCATTGGCACCCTGTTGGCATTGTCATTTGGACCCTCTCTGAGCGCTGCGGGGGTCTCGGCGCAGGGCAGCGGCTGCCCAAGGCATCGAACCTGCTCTGATCTCAGTGTCTGGTCTCGCACAGCCCCCCTGCGTAGATGAATACCTGGGGATCATCAAGAGAAGCCCCTCACCTGCCCAGGAGACCTGCAGAAACCCCCCCATACCTGACTGGTGGGTGCAGCAGCCCAGCCCTGGTAAGTAGCCGACAGCATGTGCGGTGTTTGACAGGACCGAGATTTTTTGTCTGGGGCAGGAAAAAAACCCAACTTACTGTGCAGTGATGCTTAATGGACAACTGTTACATTTTATCTTCCTTATTAAGAATGCTTAAAGTACTAATTATGAACACTGCTTGCTACCAGGCACCCAACAGTGTGCATTGCACAGGATCAAACCCACCTGGGAGTATTTGCTGGCATCTCCTGGTTGGGAGCGGGGAATCTTGGTGGGCCTGGGACAGAAAACCCAGGGGGGCTAGGGGAGGGGCGGGGGAATTGGGGGTTGGGAGCTGGGCACGTAGGCTCAGCTTGGCTTTCTCTCTGCCCACAGCGTTGCCCCTGATGAACGGATACTCTGGCTATGAGCAGCATCATTCAGGTAAGGGAGCCGCCCTGCTCGGTTGTGGACTGTGGCCATCAAATGCTTCTCTGGGGCTTGGCCTCACGTGTGCAGTGGCAGAAGATGGCTCTGACTCTGCTGCCTGCCTTGGGGGGGAAGGCTTTGCTTTGGGTTTTGGGAGGTGCTGCACCCTCCTGAGTATCCACAGGGTTTACATGCTGAGCAAGGATGCATCCTGCCTGGTATCCTGTGGCCATGGCCCTGGCACGGGGGGCTGCCCCGGGCTGCTGGGGTCAGCCCATGCCTTTGCTGCGGGCAGATCTCCCCATGGCAAGGGAAGTGTGGGGCAAAGGCAGAAGGAAAGGGCTTCGTATCGGGAGCTCTCGCTTGCTGATCAGCACTGCTACCAGGCTGAGTGCTGGAGGAGATATCCTCCTGCAAGTAGGTTGTCTCCTCCATCAGGTGAGACTTGCTCCCAGGAAATTTTGCTGCTTTCATGGGGTTTGGGCATTGCGGTGAAGAGCAGTCAGTTTGTCTTCTCCTGATGGGTAGTATATATATCCATCACCTCCCAGGTTACTCCCAGATGGTGATCAGCTTCTACTACGGTGGGAGGCTGGTGGGCCACATCACCACCTCGTGCACCGAGGGCTGCCGGATCTCGCTCAGCCAACCCTCCAGCCATGGTGAGAAGATGTACTCCCCAGATGCCCTGGAGCACGTGCGGTTCCCCTCGGCCGATGCCATCCAGAATGACCGTCAAAAGCAGATCACCAGGAAGCTTTTTGGGCATCTGGAGAGGGGGGTCCTGCTGCACAGCAACAAGCAGGGCATCTTCATCAAGAGGCTGTGCCAGGGCAGGGTCTTCTGGAGTGGGAACACCATGATCTACAAGGACAGGCCCAACAAACTAGACCGGGATGAGGTGGTGAAGATATTTGACACCAACTTATTCTTCAGAGGTTTGTAGGAGCATTCCTGTCATTCTCTTCATCTGCTTGGTGGGGTTGGAAGGGTAGGACCCTCTTGCCTTGAAGCACTTTGGAGTCATCACTGCCCATCACTGATGGGTTACCCTAGCGCTCTGGATGAGTAGCTGATCCTACCAGATCTAGGAAGGAATAACCTGGGGTTTTATGTCACTTAGCAAATTCCTCCCGGTTGAAGGCTTTGCACAGCAAAGCTGGCTTCTCGTGAGCTCACAGCTTTCTTCCGTGGCAGGGTGCTTGGTCCCAAAGCTGTGTAGCAAAGGCTTGCAGCAGGCACCTTCTAACTGTTCCCCTCTCCGTGCAGAGCTGCAGCAGTATTACAACAACCAGGGCCGCTTCCCAGACAGCAGGGTCATGCTGTGCTTCGGAGAGGAGTTCCCGGATGCGGTGCCGCTGCGGTGTAAGCTCATCCTTGTCCAGGTACGGAGGGTTGTACTTTGGAGCTCTGCTGCTGAATTTCCCACCTTGTCTGGACCATATTGCCCCTTTTTTTGCCCCTAACAAGTAGGGCTCCAGCTTCAACGTCCAGAGCCACAGGCCATTTTGGTCCCTGAATTGGTGGGGTGGCGTGAGCATCGGCTTGTCCATGGCCTCCTGAGAGGTGCTTGGGCTGTTGCTTGTCAGAATCCTTGGTCTGGGTAGATCGTGTTTGCAAACAAAGCCCCCAAATGGCAAAAGCTCTACTGACTTGCTAGGAAATCTGTTCTCTTCCTACCATTTCTGCCTCTGGGCACTGGGACCTCTGCCCTCTCCTGTGGGAAATGAGGGAATAAATCCCTGGAATGGTTGAGTTAAGGGACAGCCTCATGCTGAACAGCCAACAGATGTTGTGGACAGCAGTGTGGGGTTGGGGAAACCTTCAGGAGGGTGAAGGTGGGGATGGAATGAGAGGGGCAGTCCCTGGCTCTGGCCAGAAACTTCTCCCTGGAGAAGCTGAAGCAATTCTGGGATCTCAAAGTCTTGGGACAATGCATAGGGTGTTTCTGGAGCCCGCAGCCAGTGTGGGAGCCCCTTGGACAGCAGGGATGTGGCATGGAGGGCACCGAGAGGGCGTTGCATCCACCCTTGAGCAAGCAAAGACTCACTGAGTCTGTGAGGTCCTGGAGGGGATTTTACAAGTTCAGAGACTGGTCCAGTGCCTCATTGCACAACTTTCTGACCTGGTCACCTCTTCTTGCCTTGGGTGTCTGTGCCAGAGGATCACTCTGCATGTGCTGGGATGTTCCCCAGCTTGTCCTCACCTCCACATAGCTCTGCTGGGAGAGGAACTCTTGTGACCGCTCCTTTTCTCTTAACGGTGCTTGTGCCAAGGTGGCTTGTGGATTTGGACCTGTAGGCCTGGCTGGACCTGGCCACCTGGGTCTGTTTGACACAACTGCTCTGCTGTGTCTCTCCCACCTCGTACCCTACTACCTGGGCTGGTGGGGATGGATGGCAGCAGTGGGAGATGCCCAAAGAGGTTCCTCTTCATTTAGTGCCTTCATGACTTTTTTTTCTTTTTGTGTAGGTGGAGCAGCTGTGTGTCAGGCAGGTGGTGGAGGAGGCTGGGAAGACCTGCAGCAACAGCAGCCCCATGCTCCCCATAGCTGATGAGACACAGCATGACCAGGTGTACAGGATCTTCCAGGACATCTGTGCGACGCACCAGCGGCCACTCTTTAGAGAAAACCAACAGATTGCTGTCTGAGCCTCCTTCTCTGCAGACATAGCGTGGTGGTTTGGGTTGATCGTGACCCAGTTTGGTCCCATTAGTTCCTAAATTCCCCTTTTGGAAAGCTGGTTTTTGTTCTTTGCTGTTTCCAGTCCAGAATGTGTATAAATACAGCAGAAAAAGAGAAAGTAGGTTGGATGCTCAGCATCCATCCTGCAAACACTTTACTGATAAAAATGCCTTCTGTACCAAGCAGGGTAGTCCCAGGACTGTTGTCTATCGCTAATGGTGGGGGGAGGAGGGAGCATCTGAGCTGTGCGGGAAGGTCAGGGCTGGCTTTGCTTTGGGTTGCCTTTGTTAATGGCCAGTCAAGCAGAACTGAACATCAACAGCTGTAATGACCTGTCCCAGTGGTCTGCGACTCGGACCTTCCTGAGAATTGCCATTTGGTAGGAGGTGACCCTTGGAAAAAGCCTTTAAAATGCTCAAATGTAGGAAATTCTTTCCACAAATCAGCTTTTTCTGCCCCCAAAGAGTCCTGCTGGTGGAAGATAGGGTATGCCTTCCAAGGAGAACCTTCTCAAATTCCTTTTTATTTTTGCTATGAAGTTTATATATTGATCTGTAATATCAAAGGATTTTGAAATTTGGAAACCAATGCAGAGATTATATATGTAAATGTTGAATATAAGAATTCAGGAATGTTAATTTTTCCTAACCAGAGACAGAGTTTATATAAATATATAATATCTTTAATTTTAAAGATTGCAGCGTAGTGTGAATACTTTGGCTTCACCCTCCCAAACACACGTGTTGGTCTCTCCCAAGCGTGACCAGGCAGCAGCATCCATGTGTAAATCCTCATTAACACGCTTTGTGTGTGCACCCAGCACCGGGGAGCTGCTTGGGCATGGGCCTTGTGCCTTGCAGCTGACACAAACCAGGACTGCACATGTGTGCGTGCTACTAAGCTGCCTATTTATTTTATGCCTGAGGTTTATTAAATTTTTTTTTGTAATTTTTTTATCTTCCTGCAATTAAAGTGCTATGTTTTGTATTTCTCTTGCAATGTGGTTTTTTTGGTTGTAATGAGTGGGGTGTCAAATCTGGTGGGGAGTGCCTGGTATCTCTGACTTGCTTCTGCCCTGGTTGTCCCTGCGGTGGGGTCTGTGTTAAGCCCCCGTTGTCACCTCCTTTCTGCTGTGTAATTGCCTGGCTTCATCTCTGGGGCAGGAGAGAAATGAGCCAAAAATGCTGGAATGCAGTGGAGGGAGGAAAAGGCTGTTGCTTGTAGAGCCTTCATCCCAAGGAGGGTGAGGATGGGTCCCTGCTCATCTGCCACAGCACTGACCTGGGTGCCCTTAGCTCTCTGACCGGGGCTGTGATACTCCAAGGTCAGGGGGTGGGGGGTGGTTATTTATGGTCCTGCTCAAAGGCATACTCTTGTCCTCCTGTTACTGCCTGGTGGAGCGTTTCCTTGTCTTCTCCATCCAACTTTCCTGTGGGGTCTGGTCTAGTGAGGTGGGTGTCATTTGGGGAGAACTGGGAGCATCTGCCTTGGTCAAACGAGGTCAATGCTGTGGCAGGGGAGACCAAGCATCTGCAGTCTGCCTTTGCTTCAAGTCTGTGTTTGGGGCAATGCCTCAAGAAGCTCTGGAAGGGTGTGAGGACCATGTTTGATCTGTCCCCTTGTCCTCTGTGAAGTACAAACATGAACTCCAGCTCCTTCCCCACAATGGGCTCTGCCATGTGCTCTGGGTCAGCCCTGCCAAGGGGTACAGGTGGAGAAGCACCAGTCTTCATGGGATGACCCTGGTACCCAAAGTACCAGGGGATGTAGGCACTTGTGAAGGGGATGTCTGGAGATCCAGGCAGCTGGTGGCTGAATCTCCTTAGCAGATGGATGCAAAACTGTCCTTCCCTGCTTGGATATCAAATAGATCAGCCCTTTTTTGCTGCTCTACCTTTTTCTATTAATGATAGAGATCTTCCCAAGCATGAGTGTGTGTCCAGGGCACAGTTAAAATGTGAGGACCCTGATCTGGGGTGAGATGACCACAACGCACTGCTGCCAGGATGTTGTTCTGTCTGCGGGATTGCTAACTGTTCTGGGGTGAGGAACTCAGCCTTCCCAATGAAGTCTTCCCTAAAAAAATGAAGCGTTCAGCTCCTGTGGGACTTCAAGCTGACCCCCTTGCATCCCTACGGGGTAAGCAGTTACAGCCTCTGTCGCAGAGAGCAGTAGGTGCACAGCAGACAACACACGACCTACAGCACCCAAAAAGTGCTCTGAGATCGGAGACCCAGCTGAAACTTTGTGGTTAGACATTAGGATTAAGGGAGGCCCTGTATCCCAAGCTGTTTGTGCTGTAAGCACCCCGCTTTATGGCTAAGCTCTGCTCCGTGCCCCAACCATGCTGGTGGGATGCTCATAGCCCTGCCTGCACCCTCTGCCTGTCCCTTGCGGGGATTACAGCATGTGCCTTTGGTGCTTGTGAGCGGAGATGGCTGCAAACCAAGATTTTTGAGGATGCGCCAGGATCCAGAGTACAATGAAGTCCCCAACTCCCGTAAGCACTTATGGGATGCTTGGTCATCGAGGTGGGGATTGCACCTTGTGGGTGCACGCTCAGCATTCACCCCCAGCCTTTCTCTGCTCGTCCTGAGGACCATCAGGGTGTCCCCTATGGGGTTTAATCCTGTTCCAGTCCTTGGTGTTGGCTCAGAGTGTGAGGAAGACTCACCTCCCCGTGGGTGAGGTGCCTGGCAGGGAGAGCTGGCAGGGGGGAGGTGGGAGCAAGGCACCCGCTTGCGGTCTGCGCTGGAAGAACACGTGCCCACTTGTGAAACACATGGTGGGCTGCAGGCTGGGACACCATAAACACTGCTTGCGGTTTCCCCAGATGTCCTGGTGTAAGTCCTTCCTCAGAAACCACCATCTTGTGCTCGCCTGGAGCCACCTGCTTCGTATTCAGGGCTCTTTCAATTTCCACCCCAAGACCGCGGAAGAGTGGTGGGGAGCAGAGGTACCTTTTGTTGGACCCGGCTGCATGGTTTATTTTTAGTGTTACTGTCGTGTCTCAGAGCCCAGAGCTCAGTTTTGGGACCGTGCTGCACCTCGCTCCATAAAACCAGCAGCACGGCTCCCATCCCAAACAGCTTCCAAGCCATGTCCAAGAGGAGACAACTGGTGGGTGTGGAGGAACTGGGAAGGAAACTCTGGGATAGCCTCATGTGGCAGAGGTGGGATGCAAGAAGGATAACATGATGGGGTGCGTGACTGTGTGCAGGGGTTACCTTTTTGCTCAGGGCTCAGGTAGGACTTGCAGCAGCATTGGGTTTGTGCTTAATGCCTGGCCCAAGCTGGATTTTCCTGTCCCAAAATCCAACACGAGGCTGATGTTCACTCACAAAGCGCCAGATGCTCCGTAAGACCAGAGCAGGTTTTGAGGTAACTGTACCGGATCGCACAAAGGGATGCTCTGATCCAGACTCATGGTGGCCTTACTAAAAGCCAGGAGGAATTTCTGCACATCTCATACTTGTCCCTCAAGTCTCTTGGCCAGGCAGGCAGGGTGCTGCCGTCCCCATCATCCCAGCTGGGAAACTGGTGCTGGTGGTATCTGGGAGTGCTCCGACCTGGAGGCAGCGCCTGCATCCCGGGCACCCATCCCTGCACCTCGCCTGGCCCCAGGCAGCTCCGGTGAGCTGCTTGGTGCAGCTGCACCAAGTCTTAGTGGTTTTGGGTGACCGGGGACTCAAATACTTTCATTGGTTTCTGTTCGCTTGGGTTCTTCTCTATGGCCTCACTGAAGTGAAACCTCAGTGCCTGGTGTTGGCTCTTCTTCGTCAATGGCTCATCCGTTGGCGAGTCCGTACAGAGGCCCATGTCTTCAGCTGAGGGTCCCATCCCCAAATCCTGGGGATGCAGTGCCCACTGCATATAGTATCTGTGGCACAGGCTGCATCCTTGCCACTGAATGATCCTCACCAGTATAGCAGGATTGTGGGTAGCATGAATGAGAAGCTCAAAGGCTGTCCTCCCCAAAATGCTCGCTGCTTGTCCGAATGTAGTTTCCTACACCTCGAGCATGTGTATGAGTTGGAGTAACGATACCATCAAACTCCTGACTGATGTGGAGATATTTCCTTGCTTACTGGGAAGGCCAACCTGGGTACCAGGTCCTGCTGTTCCTCTGGAGAGGGCTGCAGTCCCCCCAGACATGGGAAGGTCCTTTCTGGGAGATGCCCATGCTAAACTCCTGCCTTCAGGAGCAGAAGGGCAGAGTAAAAGTTTCACATGGGAAGGAGAGAGGAGCTGGGTTTCCCTGAAGGCAGACTGACCTTTACTTGCAGGAGATGCAGGGTTCTCCTCAAGCATGTTTGGTAAGGAGCAATGTGCTTACCCAACCCTCCTAGCAGCCGGCAGAGAAGGGTAGACCAGGGCAGACAATGTGGGGGAATTTTCTATCGACTCCTGTCTAAGATCTTCCAACACGAAGACATCTACTCCCTGGGGAACACTGGAACGTTTTGATTTCTGGATGCTGCAAAGGACTTGATTTGTCATAACTGGGAGGCAGTTGTGCTGCTGGGAAACATTTTCGTTGGGAGAAAATGAGCCTGGTTATATCCTGCAGCGTTACCAGGCTTGTTCATAACGTGCTTCAGTAATTTCCCATGACATACCCTTCAACAACTGCAAAAAGGACCACTGCATGTGGCTTTAGGAGCAGGATTCGGTGTCTATGAGGACAACCAGCTTCTATCCATCCCTCCTGCATGCTTGAAATACAGCGTGAGGAGTTACCTGGTGACGAATCTCCTGCATGGAGAGCAGGCTTGCTGGAGTGGGGAGAAGGAAGGTGAGGTTTGGTCCAGCTAAAACTGAGACTTAGCCCATCTCAACCTGGAGAAAGAGGGAAAGCTCTGCAGGCATCTCCATCCAGCTCTGGAGGCCAAGCGCGCTGTGCAGAGAGACAACCACACTTCAATCGCAGCTCCCAGCTCGCAGTTGAACTGCTCAGGAATACAACATAAACCAGCTACAGCTGCTTCCTCCAACCTGCTGCCGCTTGGCGTGGGCCCCCACCGGCCCCTATAGGCGTTAGAAAACAAACAGTCACTTTTTATTTCTAGACACCAGGGTTTCCAACTGGTTTGATTGCTCAATGCCCCATTTCAGCACA